TAGTGTGGTGGGGGGGGGGGGTGATATGAAATGTAGCACCCCAAAGGCAGGAGAGGGTTTGATGTTATGGGCTATTTGTCCGAAGCAGCAGTGGAGGGGGGGGGAGGAGGGGGACATCCTGCCCATGGGGAGAGGTACAGACTGGTGCGCCCCAGGGAAGAGCCAGTTAAACAGGGGGCCAGAACTACCAAGCAGCAGCATTTGGGGAGGCCCTAAGGATGAAGAGGAGATGCTGAAAAAGGATCCCAAGTGGAGAGGAAACTGATGGAGAAATTAGCAAGTGGTGGAAGAGGGGGAGCCAGGACTCCTGGGTTCTCCCCCTGGCTCTAGGTAGAATCCAGTGGGTTGGAGAGGATATGAGCCAGGACTCCTGGGCCCCCTCCCTTGCTCTGGCCCCCACAGTGCAGGTCTGGTGCCTCCCTCCAGCACCTACCAATCCTGGCTGGTATAGAAGGCACTGCTCAGGTTGGGGGCCCCAGCCCTGGTAGGCCAGCTGCTCCCCCCACACTGTTTTGCGCACACCATGGGAGGGGGTAGTCCGTGCTGGGGACGCTGGTACCCCCCCACAGCTGTTGTGAAGCTGGGATCAGGGTCTCCAGCTGTTCCCCAGCCCTCTACCCCCACCCTGCAAGGGGAAGAGACTCTAGGGCCATCAGCAGCAAGGGCAAAGTCAGGAGAGGGTGCTGGAAGGTAGGGCCAGTTCTCTCCCCTGTCCCAGGGCATGGGTGCAGAGGGCTGTGAAGAACCAGCTGGCCAGGTATTACTGGTGGGGGGTGACCAATGGGCTTGAGCAGAGGAGAGGGGTGGCAAAGAGCCAGGATTCCTGGGTTCTACTCCAGGAAGAGAGGCTGGGGCTGGATGGTGAGTAGGTCTGGCTGGGGAGACTCTCACTCAAGCAGAGCCAAGACCAGCCTGTGTTTAGAGGAGCTTGGGGGGGGGGGAAGAGGTAGAGCCCCCATTCCTTGGGAGGAGGAGGAGTGCTCCCTTTCCCAGTATGCATACCTGCTCCAACTCCCCCCATGGGTCCCATCTGGAGCACTAGTCCCCATTTGCATTGGGGCCAGGATCCCACACCCCTCAAAGGGCCAGCTCACCCACTGACTGGCCTCATTCCCCCTCTATTTTCCCAGCATGCACTGCTGCCCACTTCAAAATTCCCAACTATAAGTCCCAGAGTGCCTTGCTGCTGGGCCCCATTCCTCTCTCCAACAGCCAGCTCTCCACAGCAGATTCCTTTATAAGCCTTCGCAGTTAAAGCAGTTTGTCCAGGCCATCCCCGCGGCATCAGGGCAGCGAGGCGAGGATCTGTCGCTGCAGCAGCCTGCCCCCACCGGACAGGAAGGGCACTGCCAGCCAAGAGCCAGGCACGTTGCTATAAGAACGGATTGGTAGCTGGGTGCTTGATGACAAAAGGTGTGGACGGAGTGGCCGTCTAGGGGGGGAGGAGAGAGAGAGAGGGGTTAGGGAGACAGGCACAGGTAGCATCAGACAGGCAGGTAAGTGCTGGCATAGTCAGACACCATAACGCCCATCAGATCCCTGGCACTCACCCCACAACTTGGCACATATCCCGGGCTGCTTGGAGAGAGAGGGAACACAGCTGATGTGCGAGGAGAGCCCACACAGATGCTGGGAGGCGCAGACCTCAGCAAGGAGGGGGCCCCAGGGTGCAGACAATGGAACAGAGCTGAGTGACCAGGTGAGTCAGCACAGTGGCTCTGCCCTGGGGAACTGAGGCTGGTACAGGGGCCCCAGCTTCACCATAGGGCTGCTGACACCGAAACCCCTTGGAAAGGAGGGGAAGACATCAAATGCCAGCATGCCCCCAGACCCTGGGAGGCTGGGAAGGGGCTGGTCCTCACCATAAAGGGGTTGGTAGAGATCCCAACGGGCTGCCCCACTTTGGCTGCAGCAAATCCATCAAAACTGGAATCTGCAGGGCACAAAAGAGCTGGGATAGAACCCAGGAATCCTGGCTCACAGCACCCTCCTCCCCAACATGCCAGCACCCACTCCCCTCCCAGAGCTGGGGAGAGAACCCAGGAGTCCTGGCTCCCAGCTACCCTGCTCCAACCCACCAGCCCCCGCTCCCCTCCCAGAGCTGGGGAGAACCTAGGAGTCCTGGCTCCCAGCCTCCCCTCTGACCCACCAGCCCCATCTCCCCTCCAAGAGCTGGGAAGAGAACCCACAAGTCTCGGCTTTGGACCCCACCACAGTGGTTGTAGGGTGCGGGCTGGCAGGAATCCGGGCTCACCTGGCACCGTGCTACTGGGCTGGAAGGGGTTGGTGGAGGTGCGGGCAGGCAGGGCAGCAGGCACAGCAAAGGGGTTGGTGGAGGCTGGAAGAGAGGAGGCACAGGAGAGCTGGCTCATTGCTATGGCTGCCGACAGGTGCAGAGCCACTTACCTCCATAGCCGGGCGCAGGGCTGGGTACAGGCAGAGCTGGCTGGCTTAGGGTCCCGAAGAGGCTGCACGGGAGAGACGGTGTCAGCAAAACCCATGGGCGAGGGGGGAAGAACTGCCACCCCACTCAGCAGGGTGCAGCGCTGTGCCCCCGATGCCCATGCAGTATACAAACAAACAACCCCCTCCAGGGGACAGCATTCTGCCCTCATGCTTTGTGCTGTTCACAGGGATGTAAAATCCCAGTTATCCAGTGAAACGTAAGGTTGACCTAATGTTTAATCTGCTGAAGTAGGATCCAGGCTGGGGACTGCTCCGCCCTGCAAGGCCCCACAGCCCCAGCACTGAGTCTGGCTGCTGGGTCCCAGATGGGGATGCTGCCAATTCTGGCTCCTAGCCCTCACTGGTGCAGCCCCTGTCTGTGGCAGGCCCCCGCTGGGCTGGAGCAGCCCCCTGCTCTCACCAGTAAGCAGATAACCTTTCACATGTTCAGTATACACTAGGGAGATGAACCTGTACCCGACTACATGCTTACACGCAGCACCATCCCCTCCACTGCTGCATCTTATACAGAGGCAGCAGCGCTGGGGGAAAGGGGAAGAGCTGGTGCTCACAGGGAGCCAGCTTAAAAGCCCACTTCCCGTGAGTACTGCTCCCACTTCTCCCCACCCACATGTAAATGTGTAACCACTGAAAAATGCAGCAGTTATATGTTTGCACAAATAAACAGATTTTAACATCCCTAGTACACACACACACAGGGGTGGTCCTGCTCAGTCCCTGAAGCAGCCCTCCTCCCCCTGCATACACATAATGCACCTCAAGTCCCTAAGGTCAGGGTGGCCTGTGACTATAGGCCGACTCGGCCGTAGCCTAGGGTGCCGTCTTCAACGGGGCGCCCGATGAGGACATCACTCCATTGACGGCCGTGCAGGTGGGGGCGCCGATCGCATGTTCCGCCTGGGGCTCCAGCTGCCGCAGCCCACCTTGGGCCACTCCTGCCTAAGGTATAATGGCTGATGCCAGCAATACACTCCCTCCTCTGGGGCCATAGAGGGGAGTTCACACGGTACCTGCTAGGTGCTGCGCCCATCTCCGGGATCCCGCTGCTAGGGTAGCTGGTGGGGGAGGCACCAAAGCTGCTCACCTGGGCACCCCCTGCTGGCACAGAAGGGAACAGCATGGTCACCCTCACCAAGGCTTACACCAGGGGTCAGCAACCCTTCCAAAGTGTTATGCCAAGCCTTAACCCTCCTGCCCTGGGCTGCACCACTCTCCCAGGAGGCAGGGAGGGGCTCTCTCCACCATGCACCCCACTGGGTCTCCTGCCCTGGGCTCTGCTCCAGCTTTTTCTGAGGGGACAGGAGGAGCAGTGTGTGCATGCTTCCCTGCACTTGGGTGCAGGATCTGGGTGGGAGATTAGGAGCAGGCTGGGAGCAGGGTGTCTGACCAGGGGAGAGGGGGCAGGAGCTGGGGGGAGGAGGGGTGCAGGGTCTCAGCACGGAGGGAGAGCAGGGGGTGCAGTGTCTGGGCAGCACTTACTTTTTTTCCCCCCAGTGTCTGTAATAGGGTTTATTTACTGTAACAGTCACTCCCACGTGGCAGGCAGATGCTGCTCCACACAAAGAATAAGTTAACAGCCCATGGGCCAAGTGTGGAATGGAGTCTGTGCCTCGCCAGGAGTGCAGGGAGTCCAGTCAGTGGGTCCCGAAACCTGGATGACAGACTTCAGTGGCCCCACGGAGAGTGCACAGCACATGAGAGGCACGAGTGGAGCAGCAGGGACATGGCCATGGCAGCAACGGGCCCTTCATGGACAAGATGATGACCAGGTCGCTTTTGCTCCCTCTCCCCTGCTGCTCTCAAGCTTTGTCCCAAGCATGGCCTCCCACTGCTCCAATGGCCAGATTCTGGCCATTGGAGCAGCAGGAAAAGCCTGCGGGCAGAGTGTCGGTGTGCTGCTTTGTTGCTCCAGCCAGGGGAGGGCACACATACGCATGGAGCTGTTCATGGCTCCAGCTTTTTCCCTGGCTGCACAGCGAGGCGCGGGGCTTTCTCTATTTGCCCACATGCCACTGAATGTCATCTTGCATGCCACTTATGATACACAGGCTGGACGTTGCCAACCCCTGGCTTACACCCTCCCTCAAATGGTGGGGGAAGGAGTACCCCACCGCCATAATGCCCATCCTCTAGGTCCAGGAGAGGGCAGAGACAAGTGCCAGCTCCCCCTGGTGCCCATAGCAGGCACGGCTCCACACTCAGGGGACAATGCAAGCCAGGGAAGCAACTAACCTCAAACTGATTTTTCTCCTCCTATTCTTGCTGTTAACTATGCATGCAGGGGAGAGAACCCAAGAGTCCTGACTTCCACACCCCTCTCTCGCCCATTCTAATCCATCAATCCCCAATCCCCTCCCAGAGCCGAAGAGAGACTCCTCAATCACAAGGAAAAAGCAAACCGCAATCATTAGCTCACCAAAGCTGTAACTTCCTGGGACTGACTGACTGGCTGGGAACAGAAAGCAGAGAGGAAAGAGTTAAGAGAGAGCTATCCCAGAGCAGCCCCACCCCTCTCCTGGCAGAGCTAAGCAGACCCTTGGCCTTGAGTGTAGCGACTGGGGACAGTCCCCCAGAAATACTCCCCCAAGAATATCCCCAGATGGGCCAACCATACCAGCCAAATTAGACCAATATTTTGCCTATTCATATGGCTCCCCCCACCTACTTTGACTCACCAGTCCCTCCTTCGCTCTAGGGATGTCAGTGGTTAACCAGTGACCTGGCCTGGCCCCACCTATGGCCAGCCAGCCCCCATGTAGGTGGTTAACCAATGTTTAACTGATTAAATGGGATTTTACATCCCTATTTTCCTCCCAGGGCTGGAGAGAGCACCCAGGACCTCTGGTTCCCAGTCCTCTCACGCCACTCCTCCCTCCCCCACTGTAACCCACTTACCTCGTCTCCTGCCCCAAAGCCAGGGAGAAAACCCAGGAGTCCTGGCTCCCAGGACCCTTGCTCTCGCCTACCGGCTGCAACTGTTGCCTCTCTCCACCTCAATGTTCGCCATGGCCTCCTGTGACGTAGTGGGGATTGTATTCCCTCTTGTCACTGTATTCGCTTTGGTTTTGTATTCGGTTTGCTTTGTTGTGTTGTATGTGACTCTGTGTAGTAACTCTGTGTGTGCGCACGCCTCAGTTTCCCTGGGCAATGGAACACTACCTGGATGAGGAGGAGAAGGCTGGACATGACTCACTGTGGAAGCATGTTCAGTCTTTCATGTCCTGAGGACCAGGTGACAGCAGATAACACCTTGGGTCTGGGACTCTGAACAAAGGAGGGAGTGGGGCTGCCTAGAGATCTGGGATCAGTTGCTGGATGAGAGAGTTAGTTTTTAGCTGGCGTAGTGAGAAGGGAATCTAGCAGGTTTGGGGGGCCAAGCAGGGGTCCAGAGCCCTCTCTCAGGGCCCCCTTACTCCCAAGAGGGATTGTACTGACTGCTCCTGATTCCTGTAATAACAAGTCTGTGCTATGCTGTGTTTCTGTCAACGAATAAACCTTCTGTTCTACTTGCTGGCTGAGAGCCACATCTGACTGTGGATGGGGGTGCAGGGCCTGGTGACTCCCCCACACTCCGTGACACCACCTACTCCAGTGGGCACTGCAAGTGCCAGGAAAGCCTCAGGCTGCCATAGGGGAGGGGAGCGTTACCTGCAGGCATCGGATGGGTGTGGAATGGCACCGAGCCTCCCCCGAATGTTGATGCTACCGGGCTGGACCCAAAGGCTTCAAAATTGGCAAACGCAGTGTGGGCTGGAGGCAGGCCTGGAAAAGACACAGGAGGAACAGTGGAGTACCAGGGGGTACAGCGTGTTCACATGGCAATGAAAGCCTGCAGTGGGCCTGGAGGTAGCCAAGCCACAGTCCCTCCCTATCCCAGCATTCTCTGGGGTGTGGGAGAGGGGGTTCTCCTCTGAATACAAGCACAATCCTTGGGTCTTGGTTTAGAGATCCCAGCCTGCACTACCTCCAATCGCCACATGGGGTCTCTGTAGCTCAGTGCTCTATGGTCAGCCAGCTCCCAACCTGAACTGGGTCACTAAGAAGTGGGCTCTGCCCACGAAAGCTCATGATACCATCTACATGTTCTGTTAGTCTTTAAAGTGCTACTAGACTATTTGTTGATTTAAGTTTTTCCTGTTAGGCAAACTTGGCTACTCCTCTGAAACTGTATAGAGGGGGGCTTTCTAGCTCAGAACTCTATGGTCAATCAGCACTACCCAGCACTTTCACATGGGGAGGTCTATGGTCTGCCTGCACCAGCGTTCCCTGTAAGCTGACACTTGGGCAACTGCCCACAAGAGATTCCAATGCCACCCAGCTGATTAGCAGAGCACCCACAGCCAACAGCATGTGTTTCTACTGTGGTACTCATCTACACATGCCTCAGTGCATAGAAAAAGACGTATTCCACACATGGATGGAAAAAATGAGGGGGAACATTGGCCTGCACTATCAGCATCACCAAATGGGAGGGACATCTTTAGCTGAGAGTTCTATAGTCAACCTGCACTACTTATTATCACCACCTGAGGGGCTCTCTAGCTCTGAGCTCTATCACTGGCCACCTCCCAGCCTGCACTTCCTGGCATTGCCACACAGGGGCTCTGTACTTTAGTGCTGTAGGGCAGGGAGCAGCTGTCCCTGTGGGTCCCCACCCCCACTACTTACCCACCAAAGCAGGAAACATGGCAAAGGCAGGTGCTGGCTGGGGGGCGGCGAAAGGGTCCCCTCCTATGTCCGCCAGGAGATCAGTGCTGGCTTTCTTGGCTGGCTGTGGGGTGCGCTGCTGCGGCTGGTGGGGCTGGCCCAAGCCCTGAGACATACAACTGGTAACAGCCCTCACGCCTCTCCCAGAGCCATGGAGAGAGCCCATGAGTCCTGGCTCCTGGCACCCTGCTCTAACCCACCAGCCCCCGCCCGCAAGCTGGGGAGAGAACCAGCCCTGGATCCCTGCCACCTGCTCTCACTCACCAGCCCCCACTCCTCTCCCAGGGCTGGAGAGAGAACCCAGGAGTCCTGGCTCCTGGCACCCTTCTGTAACCCACCAGCCCCTTCCCCCACAAGCCAGGGAAAGAACGCAGAAGTCCTGCCTTACCCGGCTGGATCCAGCAGCTGTGAGCAGCATCCCCGAGTCCCCTAGAAGTGCCTGCTGTGGCTTCACCTCTGGGGTGGAGCTCTGGCTGGCCAGGGAGGCAGTGCCTTTGTTTTGATCCACCGGGACATACCTGCAGGGGGGCCAGAAAGACTGAATACCTGCAACAGCCTCAGCAATACCCTGTGACAAAATGGGGATTGTATTTGCCTTATGAGTTCTCTAGTCCTATAGTAACCCTGTTTGTGAGTGCCTCAATTTCCCTGGGCACTGCACCACTACCTAGATAGCGATGGGAATTTCGAGTGTGATTAAGGGAGGCTACCCCCACCCCATCACCTACACAATAGCACATGCCCTTCATAACCTGAGCAGGGAGGGGGGAGGGCCAGGTGATACCTTTTGCCCCGAAGGAGAACAAAGGCCAGAGGAGGAGCTTAGGGCAAGCCCACTAGGCATGGAAGTTAGTCTCTGCTAGCTTGGGCTAAAGACAGGGTCCAGAGCCTTTGGCATGGAGCCCACTCTTCCCAAGATGAATTGTATTGATTGCTTCTGGTTTCTGTGCTAACAAGTCTGTTCTGCACTGTGTCCCTGTTGCCTAATAAACCTCTACTGGCTGAGTCTCACATCTGACCGTGGATGGGGGTGCAGGGCCCAGTGACTCAACATCTGTGTTACAATCTGTGATGGATAGCAGTGTTGGCCAGGACTAAGGTGTTAAACTCGGGTAGCTAGCAATGGTATTGGCAGGGGACCAGAAGAACCACCAAGGATGTAGCGTGAAATCTGAAGTGTGTAAGATACCTTTCCTGCTTTCTTTGTGTTGGGAAGTTAAGCCAGGAGTTGAGACACACAATGATTTAAACCCAGGCAGGATTAGCATGCTTCCAAGGAATCTGGGACATGGAAGCAGACTGAACCAGGAAGGGATCGTGTGTAAATAAAGGGAAACGTGTATTTAGTCACAACAAGGGTATTTTTTTTAATTTTTGATTTGACCTGCTCTGTGTGAATCCCTCCCCCATTCACTATCTAAGAGTTGTTTCCAGAGATTTTCTCTGTGTTTTAATTTGTTTTATTTAGTTGCTGTGTAACACCTACTTTATCATGTATATATTTTGTTTTGATAATTAAAATCACTTTTTTAAAGGTGATGATTTGATTCTTGTGTCCTGGGAAGAAGCAGGGGGGGGTGTGTGTGCGCGTCTGTCTGCCTGCCTAAGAAGAGGGGTCAGCTACCAGACTGCAGCCTGTTTTTCTCTTTTCAAGCTCTTGAGGTATCCCGGGGATGGAATTCAAGTGTTCCCTCCTGTTTTTCAGGGTTAAATCACTTGATGGTGGCAGCTTTTGTTTATTTCTCAGAACCAGTGTATCTGTGATTCTAGGGGGCAAGGTTTGTAAGCAGAGCCTAGAGGCAAGGTATTTAAGGTCTTTGTGGGCCCCCACCTTCTGCATTCGGAGTGCCAGAGTGGGGAACAGCTCTGACACACTCACACCCTGTTATGACGACAGTGAACCTTGTGGGCCTATAAAAATAAGATGACAGCACAATCTGAGCAGCCAGGGATGTTGATTTTTACTGCTGTCTTGGGAGAGTAGTGGTTTAGAACAGGGAGGCTGTTCGGAGTGGGGGCTGGTGGGGCAGAGGGGTGAGAGGCTGGGCACCAGTATTCCTGAGATGCCTTCCTGTTCTATCACTCTATACCCTGTGACGAAGTGGCAGATTTGTTGGTTACATGCAGAGAGAGTGATACTCAGTGTCCATGAGTGTTACTGATTTAACATGTTGAGTGGAGGGAATTTGTTGTAGCAGGGACCAGCGCAGAACTAGGGCCCCTGGCCCATGCTCTGGAAGATGAAGACCCTAGGGACTGGGAGACCCAGCTCAGATGGCACAGGGGGGTCTGGCCATTGGGATGACAATAAGCAACAGAGAGAGGACCCTGGTGACCTGGGGGAACAAAGGACAGAAGAGAGGAGAAGTGAAGCGAGGGGCTCAGGTGACCCTGGTTACCTAGACAGAAGACACAGGCTTGGGAGGGATATGGGAGGCTTGGCTGGAAGGAGAGGACTGCTGGGCTGGGCAGGGGAAGCAGGAAGAGCCCAGCTAGCTGCAGGGGAGACTCAGACATGCTGGGCTGAGAGAGGCCAGGCCTACAGGCCCTGAGAGTTCCTATACTGTGTTCTTTGTTCAATAAACCCTCCTGTTTTACACTGGATGAGAGTTGCTTCGGTTTGGAGAACAGGGCTGCACTAATCCTGCTGCGAGTGGAGGCCCCAAGGATCCAGAATGAGTAGATTCCCTGAGCAGGCCCATGGCAGAAACAGGCATGCTCGAGGCTCAGAGAGGTGCAGTCTCAGGAAGCGGAGCGACTAAATCCATGAGAGAGAATGGCACCCTGAAAACGGGCTGTCACACTGAAAGGGGGTCTCCCATCCCAGCATGACCAGTGGGCATGACCAGTAAATCGATGACACCCCCTGCAGAGCTAGGATTTGGAACCTAGGAGTCCTGTTCTATTCAAAGGCCAACCTCCCCAGCATTCCCACATTTCTCTCTGCCCACAGCACCACCTCCTCCCCATGGAGCAGGAACTGAGTCTGCCCTTTGTACGCAGGTCAAGCAATGAAGGAGGCCAAGGACCAGTTTATAGATAGGCCTAAGGAAGTGAGCCCACAAGACTGGGACAGCCCCCTCTCCTCCTACCCCACTCATACGCTCACCCGCTTTTACCATCGCTTCTTCTCATATTTCTCCTGCAAGAACTCCTTCACTTTCTGCGGGTCCCTGGAGTCTGGAAGCAGCGATGTGCGGGGATCAAAGGAGCACAGCCAAACCTTCCGGCAGGCCTAGAGTCAGCATAACTTTGTTAGACAAAGGAGGCAGGGAGCCAGGTGTCCTGGCTCTAGGATGGGAGTGGGGACTGGTGGGTTAGTGCGGGGAAGGGGGTGAGAGTCTGTGTACAATGGACTCCCATCTTGGCACTAGTATGCCACACAAAAGAAAGGCCTGTCCCTGGCTGCTCACCTCGTTGCCACGGGACTGCAGAAACAGCACCTCTGCCTCGGTGAAGGTAGTCATGGAAATGGATTTGACACGATGGGGAGGGTTCAGGCCCCGGCTGCAAAAAAGACAAAATAATAATAATAAATAATAATAATAATAATAATCACACATCTGCATTGTTAGCAAGGATCTGGGACTGGGAGCACCACACAAGGTCCCCCTCTCCTCCCAGAGCTGGTGAAAGAATCCAGGAGTACTGCTTCCCAGCCCCCCTTGCTCTTAGCCCCCCTCCGCGCCCAGAGTGTGGTGAGAACCCAGGAGTCTTGGTTTCCAGGACACACACTCCAGGACAATCAGGCCAGTCTCGGGAAGTCCCATGGCACCCCGTGCCCTAGTCATGCCCCTATTTGCAGCGCCTCTGAAATGCTGACCTAGAATTTTCTGCAAGCTGTGCTGCATTATTTAAGGCCACCAATAAAATATTCAGCAGCCTGTATCCAGGCTAAGGCGTCTCAGGGGGTCGCCACGGGCTCGGCTCGGGCAGCTTCAGCCCTCTGGAGCATCCTGACCATTTCCCGCAGCTGTTTAGACACAGGGGAGCAGCTGCGGCGGGGAGACGGGAGCCCCGCCCGGGCCCGAGACCACGCAACAGGGGGCAGAAGCCCCGCAGCTCTGAGGTCACCGGGTAAGATCCGGGCTGAGCCAAGGATGGAACCCAGGAGTCCTGGCCCCGCCCCCGCTCACCAATGCACATGCCGCCCCGCCCCCCGCACGCCCGAGACAAGAAGCCCCGCCCAGGCCCCGCCCACTCACAGCGCGCCAGAGCAGCCCGTGCACACGAAGCTGCCCAGCGTGATGTCCACGTAGGTGACGCCACGCTGGCCGCACTCGAAGCAGTAACGGTTGCCAGGCCCGGCGCCCGCCAGCTCCCGCACGCGGCGGGACCGGAGCTCGGACTCGGCATCCCGCGGAGAGCCTGGCTTCCTGCCCCCGGCCGCTGCCATCCGCCTGGCAGTCGGACTGCGCCTGCGCAGCCCCACTTCCTTTACCCCTTACTAGCCCCTCTTCCACGTCGCATGCTCAGTCGCGCGCCGCGATCCGCCCCTCTTTTACAGCGCATGCTCTGCCTCTCAGGTCCTCGAATTGCGCATGCTCCATCGCGCCCACCTCTTCTACTGCGCATGCTCCTTCACTCACGTGTTGCGAATGCTCCTTCGCCCGCCTTCTTTTTCTACTGCGCCGCTTCCCGGTCCTCTAGCTACGCTTGCTGCTCTATCGCGCATGTGCCGCTACTCCGCTGGCCGCGCGCGCGTCGCGAGACTTCCCTTTCCCTTCCTTTCTCAAATGCCTAACGCGCACGCGCCACGAGCTCCGCGGGTGCGAAGGAGTCCACCGACGTCACCAACCGCCCTTCCCGACGAAGCAACAGCTCCCCTCCCGCCTTGGGGCACCGGCCTGTCTGCCTCAGGGCTCCCAGCGCCCCCAGCCAGCGTGTGACTGGCCAGTTTGCCCATTGGCTCCAAGCTCCTGAAATGCCTCAGTTGGGGGGGGGGTCCCTCAGTGTGCCAGGTGCAGAGTCTGTCTGGGGGGCTGCGCCTGCTGGGCCTGCCCTTGTGCGTTGTGGGCTGGCTGCTCTTCACGCCCCCTTTGGCCTGCCGGCCCTGTGCGCCTTTCTAGCGCCCTGCCACTTTCCCCACACTGCTGTTCTCTGCACCTGTGTGCAGGGGGCAGTTGAGCGGCAGCGGCCGTGCTGTCCAGATGCCTTGCAGTGTTTTTGTTCACGCTGACAGACTCGCACCCTCCCTCACATGGAGAGAGAGTTTTGCTACTGGCTCCAGCCCCAAGGCCAGCCTTGTGGGTGCCCCACCGTGCTCAGAGCGGTATAGTGCGTACGTCAGCTAGAGGAGTGCACCACGTGTACAGCTTCCACTGATTTCACCTCATGACTCTGGATGGGTCCTTCTTCACTTTCTGTCCCCAGCCAATGGCTTTGTAGGATTGCGGATTTAGAAAGGGCAGCTAGACTTCTACCTCTCCCCCAGAGAAGTCTGTATATATTGGCCTTGTCTATCTTTGCCATGCAGTCAGCTGGGAGAAGTGTCACTTTGAAGGGGAAACCACTGCTTGTCTCCAGCCACCAGCTGCACAGCCTCCTCTGGCCCGCACTTGACCCATTTACTGCTTCCTGGTGATTAGGGCTGGGCACAGCTCACAGGTTGGGAAGACAAAGTATAGAGCTAGGGTCCGCCAGAGACCATACGCAGCATCCAGCTGCATGGGCACCATGAAATTTAGGACCCCAAATTTTGTGGTGTCCTATGCAGCTATGCTTTTGTGTATCTGTAGGGACAGCCCTGCCATCTGTAACCAGCCCTACTGCCCTAGATGCAACTGTATTTCAGAGCCAGGTGTAGTATCCCTGTATAACCAGCCATCCTTGCATCTCAGTGCTGGGCAAAGGCTCCTTTATTTTTAAAGCATCTTTGGATCTGCTTTTCAGTCAAAACCTACCTTAGAGGTTTCTTCTCTTTGCAGAGGCATGCACTCACCACTGTTTTTTTCTGGAGGCAGAAACCAGACATCAGTGTGGGCTTGACAAGACAATCCAGGCCTGCAGTTCCTGCTTACCTTCAGAAATGCAAAGCACTACAGGGAGAGGGTATGGGCTGTTCCTACTTAATCTGTAAAAAGGGAAAGGGCTGTTAATGTGTCACACCTTTGCAATGTTAAATCTCCCATTTCTAGAGGGTGTAGGCGTGGTGGAAACACCAGAACCTTGCTAATGAGCCTGTTTTAAGGGGATGCTTCCAGAGCAGGCAGACTTCTTCTTTTATTTACTTTCCAACCAAGGAGTTGTAATTGTGAGCCTTTATAATTCAGGTTTGGGATATTTATCATTCCAATATTGTTATTTGTTGGGCTTTACTTCTGCTGCTTGGCTGATTTTGGTGAGAGATTTCCCACTGAACTGTTTGCTACAATAATGAAGAGACAAGGTGAGTGAGATAAACTTTATTATATTTCTTTCAGTTTGCAACCTTGTCTCTCTCTCCCACAGAAAGATCTTACCTCAGCCACCTTGTCTCCAGGGTCCCACTTGGCTGCAATAAGAACACTGCCCTTGTGCTGTCCAGGGGTATTAATGGTAGCATAGACTCTGCCCCTTCTCTGCAGAGGCCCCCTCTGGAATATTGCATTCTGCTCCGATAAAAGCTATGGACGATTATGGAGTCCAGAGAAAAGCAACATCATAAAACAATAACTACAGTCTGTGACTGTTTAGTTAATGCTCTATTTACAGCATTAGCCTTACATGACTCCCTCCGTTCCCAGCGCAGTGGAAATATAAACACTATGATTGGTGTCAGCAAAAGGGGTGCAGGGAAACTGAGGTAGGAACATGCATGAGGGAAGGAAGGATGCCTCCAATTTGTTCCGCCTGAGTTAGCCGCCTCAGATGTGCTGGCCTCACCAATTTACATGCATATCCTGCTCCCTACCCCCATATGCCTGCTTGAAATTCACTGTGAGTGTCCTTGTGAAAGTGAGACGTTCTGAAAGGCACATGATTGAAATGTGTGCATGTTGGAGGGACATCCCCAATTCCTCACTGAAGGCAGGACTTCAGTGAACTGAATGTATGTTGCAGTGTGAAGGCTGGCCCGCACACCACTCCTGTGCACACAGCATGCACACAGCCCTTGCTCATGTGCTGAGCCAAGGAGAGATGTTCATGGATAACTATGGAGTTTTTTTACTTTACAAAGGAATTGATATTATTAGCCAAGATGGAGAAAAAGGCAGAGAAATGAAGGTCTCCTAAATTCCAGTCCAGTGCTTTATCCTGTGACCACACTGCCTTAGACTACCATAGCTTATTCCACTCCTGTAGAGTAGTAAGCCATCCATGGGCAACCCAGGCTAGTGAGTGGGCCACATGAGTGGCTCTCCTTCATCTCAGTGGGCTGCTAGATTGTCATAACCAAGACAGTCTCCCAGGAGAGAGTAGTTTTGCTAATTTGCAGGGTGTGCCAATTGGATCGTAGCAGCACTTTGATTGGTTGCAGAGGGTGTACACCGGGGTTGGCAAAAAAGCTCTGCAGGCCAGATTCGGCCTGTCAAGTGGGTTGATCCGGCCTGCCGAGGCCTTGCCACTCCCCTGCCCTCAGGCCAATCAGGACCTAGAGACCAGGGAGCGCACGGCACTTAGTCAATCCTGACAGTGCCCAGGATGGGCAGTGAGAGACTGCACATTCTACCTGCCCCCAGGCCAATCAGAACCTGGGGATGGGAGAAGCATGCAAAGTCTCCTCCAGCTCTGCAAGGGGCGCCGCGCTTCTAAGCACTATGTGCTTCTTGCCCGATGGGGGCGGGGTGGGAGGAGACAAGTCCTCCCATGCCTCCAAATCCTGATTTGGCAGGGTGTATGTGTGGTGGTGCGCCATGCAAAATCTTCTCCCACTACCAGGGGCATGTGCACCTAGAGGGAACCAAACCACCAGCTGGTGTATGCAGTCAGTGTTGTGTGCGTGCTCTTGGCTGATGTGCATGTCACTTGAATAATAGCAGTAGGAAAAAGCCCACATGGATGGAAATCTGTGGAAGCTGGCAATCCTGCTAGTGAGAAATGGTAAATGAAGTGTCTTGCAGGCCACAAATAAACTCCTGATGGGCCACATGCGGGCCCGCAGGTTGCCCACTACCGCAGTAAACTGTACCAGCATGAAGCACACTGTAACTAAACTGCCATAAGTGTTGTCACAAGGACCATACAAGTGCCTGAAGACATATAGCGATAGCACTGTTAAAAGCACACCTTAGGGTTGCCTCTATAGAGCCTTTGGAGACTTCAACTAGTCCAGAATGTAGCTGCTTGAGTTTTAACTAATACTTGTTATACAGAGCACATGATGCCAGTGCTCTGGCAGCTGTACTGGCTTCTGGTATGTTTCCAGGCACAATTTAAAGTTTTGGTTATGACCTATAAAGTCCTAAACGGGTTGGGCCTGGGGTATCTGAAGGACCATCTTCTCCCATATGAACCTTCCTGGGGATTGAGGTCAGCTGGGGAGGCTCTGCTCAGTGTTCCCCCACTTACAGAGATAAGATTAACGTCTAAGCCAGGGGTGTCCAAACTTTTTTCAAAGAGGGCCAGATTTGATGAAGTGAACATGCGTGAGGGCCGACCATTTTGCCTGACATTCTTTGAACCATTAAAATTAAATGCAAATTAACTATTTTATGCAAAGTTTATTGCAAACAGCATACTTTTCATTTCGTCACATGGATGACAAATCTAAACAGGTGTTAAATCACTCTGCCTTTCATATCTGAAGGCCAGATGAAAAAAAAAATCCAGGAAGCTGAAATATATGTCAGGAACATTGTAAAGTACATTACATATTATTGGTAATAAAGGTTGTCTGTCAACTTTTAAGTTCAAAAAATATGAACAGGAACATAACACCAAGTATACATGTTGTGTCCAAATATATTTATAACTGATTTAGACCAACTGACTTTAACTGAGATTTTACAATGTATTCATCTCAATACATATGGATTCGTTGGGGGCCATAAAAGATAGATATTGCCAAATTACCCGTTAACTGAGATTTTACAATGTATTCATCTCAATACATATGGATTCGGTGGGGGCCATAAAAGACAGATATTGCCAAATTACCTGGGGGGCCGTATTAAACCGGAACACGGGCCGCAATTGGCCCGCGGGCCGGACTTTGGACATGCCTGGTCTAAGCGGAACAGGGCCTTCTCAACTTTTGCTCCCAGGCTGTGGAATTCTCTTCCTTGGGATATTCGCATGGCACCAACGTTAGCATTGTTTCAGTGTCAGGCTAAAGCCGCCCTTTTTTCTTGTGCTTTTATTGGTGTTTGAGTCTGTATGTGTGTGTTCCTCCTTTCAAGATGTTTTTAGCACGTTTTCTGTCCCTCTGGGGTCTCATATTTTTAAATTTGTATGTATATTTGTATTGTGTTTTAAAACATTTTGTAAGCCGCCTCAAATATTTTAAATAGACAGGGTAAAAATATTTGAAATAAATATACTGCTGGACAGGCAGAACATTGACGGTCACCTAAGAC